TATACCGCTAAGCAGCCGCTAATGGCTGAGAAGTGAACTCCACTATTTATGGTCTTATTTCTTTCATTTTTGGTGTACATGAAGAAGTATCTTTCCATCACACATTGCCGAAGTTTGAATAAGATAACCCAACAAACTGAGAAAATAATATAATAATAATAATAATATGTTTATTTACTACACGTACATGTACAAGGTATACAGGCCTAGCTGACATCAGTGACATACTACTATATAGAAAGCTGCTTGTTATGCAGAGTATTTCAAGAAAATTAGGTCAGTGTCTCAGGATAACACCCACACTAGTCGACTAACACCCACGTACCCATTTACTGATGGGTAAACATAGACAACAGGTGTAAAGAAACACGCCTAATGTTTCTACCCTGGCTGGGAGTCGAATATTTACCAAAAATCATATATGGCTAATCCAAGCCAGGTATTAAAAATAATCTACGTTGACTTTTTTTGGGTTATCCTAGGTTCTCTACACATATGATGCTATGTGTGATAATCTATATAGAGAAAATAACTTTTGTTTCATGTTTATGGTGGAGTACGAGTGTATATCACAGTTAGCCCTGTGCTACATTCCGTTTTCTCTAATATAAGCCCCCAAGACAGGGATAGGAGAATGGCATTTGTATACCATATCCTCTTCATACCTCCGTCGAACTGCTCGATGTTATGCCAAATATTATTCGTTCTGGAGTATTTAACATGTTTAATGTTATTTATATTGTTTCTTATGTTGTATTAGATCAATTGTGATAGGCAAATAAGCTGTAGTGTTGATATTAGCGTAATAATAAAGCATATTCTTCTGCTTCATGAGACTGAGTTCATGACAACTGACAGTGGCTTCAAAGCCACCTTATCTTTAATGGATAATGTGCTGTGTAGGTGCTTTACATAATGAGCATTTCTTTTATTCACTGGAACCATGGCTAGGGCTAAAAGTAAGCAGGTTAAAACAATAAATGGAGAAAAAGAAATTGGAATGACTTATGCAGCAAGTAGCGCCACCTAACATTACCAGCAGGTTGGTGTGGCGACCTTGGAAATTTGAAATTATGCTAGCCAAAATTAGTGCCGAATAACTGAAGGAACCAAATAACTGATTGCCGGATTTGTGATTGTGGACCTGTTTTAGATATTTTTAGCACGCTATTTACATCCCCTGTTTACCATTCATACACCTCAGTCATATCCCCCTAATTCTACACTTTTCTAGAGCGCAGATTTAGGGCCCTCAGTCTGTCCTCATAGGGAAGATTTCTGATACATGGGATCAACTTTGTCATTGTCCTTTGTATGTTTTCCAGTGCATTTATATCCATTCTGTAATATGGTGACCAAAAATGCGCAGCATAATCTAAATGAGGCCTAACCAAAGATATGTAGAGTTAAAGAACAACCTGAGAACTTTTATTATTTATACTTCTTGCTATGAAGCCAAGGATTCTGTTGGCTTTATTGTGACACTTATGCACTGTTGTCTTGGTTTCAGCCATTATTAGTCTTAGGTTTACTGAACGATGGCACTCACAATGGCCTGCACATATCCACACACCCTGGATTTTTTTTTTTAATTAGGAGGCACGAAATAGTGAGGCCTGAAATGGAAGTGTGTGGAAAATTTGAGGCCTAGAACAATTGTGCACATTAGTATGTCAGCACACCTGTGTCCTTTGTGTACTATTATGTTGGACACATTCAAGAGGTTAATATATGTAGGAGTAAATAGCTGACACAAGAGACAATTGTAAGGATCATTGGATTACATTTGACAGGAAAATAGTAAGTCTGATGTGAGGGTGGAGGGTGAGGACCTGTTGTGTCGGTTCCCTGAGGACTGTGTTGATACGCTGGCACATCCATGGATGCCTCAGGATGTTCTCACCAATGTTACATGTAATAATCGCTCTGGTATCATTTGACCGAATCTTTCATACAGTGTTGCAAGTTTTTATGTGAGGCAGTACTCCCTGCCACACCACAAAATCTGTTGTTCTTTGGTTTCGTGCCTGTGAGGTACCCTCTGCGATGATTGGCCAAGGTATTCCCCAGGTTTGAACCCCATTGAAAACATCTGGGCCAAATTAGGTTTACTAGAGAAAGCATATTGACCCAGTATCACTACTTTAGGACACCATCCATGAGTCATGGGGAATTTACTCTGTGAAACCCCAAAGAATGTAAGTTAATCACTTTCTAGATGGTTGAAGGATGTCCAGAAGTGCAAGGGATGATCTACTTTATGGGCATGGGTTTTAAGGGGGGGGGGTCTGCATCATACTTTAACACTTTGTGGCCGTTACGTAGAGCATTTGTGAACGCATATTAAACCAACCAGTTAGATATGTATTAGACAAATGAGGCGATTTGTTTACGCTGGAATATTGGCAAAATTTGAATATTTCTGCTACTTTGAGCTCATTTTCAAACTATTTTCAGTCCTCAAACCAGTCAGAATCCTCTGTCTGTAATATATATTCCATTTTATCAAATGAGACCAAGAAACCTTAAGTACAGCCATAAAAACCACATGGAAATACACCACGAAGTTACTGTTTAACCCTTAAACTGTCCAAACGTAGATCTACGTTTTTTCAACATTTGAAAGTATGTAAGAAAAGTAGATCTTTTCTTTTTTTTACATTTGAAAACATGTAAAAAAAACTTTGATCTACGTTTTTTTTTTTTGTTATATTTGAAAATACGTAAAAAAAAAAAAGTAGATCTACTTTTGGAGCACTATACATGTGAACATAGATCTACTTGGACAGTTTAAGGGTTAAAACAAAAAACACGATCGCAGTTTTTTCTCATGCACTGCTTGCTGCAGGATTTTTTTTTTTATATGGTATACACTTACTGCATAGACCTATTATGTTTAGACCCAGATTTACCTCTGACAGCTTATGAGTGAGGTGAGCTCATGGAGTATTACTACTGCACGGACATTGGTGTCAATGCCATAGAACAGCGGCATGGACACCGAGAAGGTTAAGTAGCAGAAATATTAGATTTTTTCCAGTACTTTTGAGGATGGTAAAGGTTTCCTTACACCCTAATGTTTTATAATAGGTCGTATTCTGTTACTGGGATGCCATAAACCATGACCAATCATACCTGGTTTTATTTTATTTTATTTGAGAAAGTGTAAATCTTGCAGTTTTTGTGTGATTACAAATTCAAAATGGATGGTAAGTGTAATACAGGACAGGCCTGAGGATGTGACTAATGAACAGAGAAAAGGTTTTAGTGCCAGGAATGTCTACATTGTGTATTTTGCACTATTTTTAAATTAGTATTTTTTAATTTTGTGTAAAGCTGGCTGAATTACTGACTAATGTGCATTTTATAGGGTAGTTGTAATAGTTGAATGGGTGGTTTCTTGTGCTCAATTGATAGATCAGAGGGCATATTAGCAAAATAGCTGAGAATTTGGTCAAGTGTAACATTGGATTTCTTAAAATAGGACACAAAGCGGGCAAAATCACTGTTGTGTAAATTGTGCCCAGATCACTAACTTTGTGCCTCTGTAATTCCATAAGTTTTCCATCAAACTTCATAGTTTTGGTGTCATTACCTTCAGAAAAAGATTCTCTGCCATTTTTGTTTTAATGTGGAACTGGTAACGATATTAATTTTGCGGGGTCAACACTGGAAGTGTTAATGACTAGTATTGTATGTACTTCAAACCTTCAACGCTGATAACTTGTAGAGTGCAAGTTCTGAACTTCATACTTTGTGTCGGTGTGTTTTGGGATATTTGTCCTGGAGACAATTGAAGAATGTCTGTTCTGATTTAGCTTTGGGCTTTTAAAGTGAACGTTTCTTGGTAGGTTCAAATTAGTTTTGGGCTGGATAGGTGTCAGTTTTCCATTGTTATTGAAGTTGGGATATTAATTTCCCTGTAGTAACTTATTGTTTTACACAGATATTTATCTGCAGTAGAAATTTGCATGTATTACAGTAAAGATGCATTGATTTAAGCCAACTTGCCTGCTGTGTCAATTTCAATCATTCATGTGTAAAGACTAAAGAACATTGATATTATATACTTTATTTACATACCATATAGACTTTAGAAGATTCACTGTACACCTACCATCCGACTTACGACCGAGTTCGGTTCCGAGAAACCGGTCGTAAGTCAAAATGGTCGTATGTCGAACTTTACTACTGAATATCAACAAAACGTTTTTGTAATGACTTTATTTTTTTGTTTTATTTTTGTATTTCATGTTTTACTTTACTTTTTATGTTGTTAGTACTGTATTTTATACTGTAAGGTTTAGGATAAACACTGTGTACAACACAAATAGTTGTTTATTTCTCAGAAATTTGGCATAAAAAACACGGTCGTAAGTCGAGTGGTCGTAAGTCGAGCAGGTCGTAAGTCGGATGGTAGGTGTACTTAGTTTTCTAGTAGATTGTGTGAATGATGGTGAAGGTGTTTGTCTATTTTAGGTCACTCTGCCTCAGTGGGAGACAGCCGACATGTTAAAAAAAAAAAATTGTGGTTACAGCAGTTTTTGTTATATGCCAGATATAGTTTTCTCAGAATGCCTTTTGTGCTAATGTACTGTTTTTTGTTTTTAAGTGAAATGCTTCTAATATTTAACATGTTTTGCTTGGATACAAATGTGTGGCAAATTTTATTTTCATTCTTAGTTAAAGCTATAAAATCTGTTCTTAAAAATCCAGGGTCTGGCAACTTCTGCACACAGGTTGCTGAGATGGAGATGTTACTGTACTTTGCAGTCATTTGTAGAGGAAAATTACCTAAATGTAAATTACCTAAAATGCCCTGTATCAGAAGATCATTGCTAAACTGAGAATCCTGCACTATTGGCTCAAGTTCTGTGCTAATACAAATATAAAATTTACTTTCTAATTTATAAAACTGGAAAAGTTAAGTCATGTTAAGAATATTTTATTTAATATCAATTCTCATTATTGCTAGAAATGAATACGTAATTTTCTTGCAGATAATGAAATTCTTCCTGCATCATGTACTTGGGTCTTTCCATGCTTGGGTATCATGCAGTTCAACAAGGGTAATACTGAGCGGGCCAAGGAAGATATCAAAAAGGCACTAGGTGCATTAAACACTCATCTTCTTACCCGTACTTTCTTGGTTGGAGAACGCATTTCCCTAGCAGATATCTCTGTCTGCTGCACTTTGCTTCACCTTTACCAGGTAAAGAATTTTCTGTATATTGTCCTAAATCCACTGGCAGCTTCATCTATACATGATATAAGTAGTCCATTTTCTACGAATACTGGGTTTATGACTTAAATTTATTGCAGTATGCCTTGGAACCGGCCTTCCGTAAGCCCTTCCAGAATGTGAATCGTTGGTTTACAACTATGATTAACCAGCCTCAGGTAAAGGCAATAATTGGTGATTTCAAGCTCTGTGAAAAGATGGCCCAGTTTGATAACAAGAAATTTGCAGAAGTTCAGGGCAAGATGAAACAAGGTGGCAGTGATAAGGTAATGGTTCTGGTATTTCATGATTAAGTAAAAAATATGCCTTTTGTTTTTGTTAATTTTTTTGTTTTTGATTTATTAAATTCTTATTCTTTCCATAGAAATTGTTGTAATGAACATTCCTTTTTAGTGTTTCTACCTGTTTTTCTTTCAGTGTAGTGTCAAAAAAAGGATAAAGTAACTCCATTTATTTATAGTTCCTCTCCCGTTTGGGTTAGGGATAATGAAATAATGGGACAAAACTGAGTACAGAAGGACCTCCATATCTGTAGGGGATAAGTTCCAAGGACCTACCATGAATACCAAAACTGTGGATAGTGGCAAACCCTGTATATAAGTCCTGTACATACCTATTACAATGTTTGACATAAATTATGCACACTAAGTGGACAATTATCACTTTTGCTGACGAGAAGCACTATGCCTTCTTAGGCTTTGTAGAACTGCTAGCCTTTCTACTTTTGCACTTTGGGCTCATTATTATGTAAAATTAAGACGTATTTTTGGGCCACATTAAACTGTGGATACCTAATCAGTGGATACGGGGGTTCTACTGTTTTACATTGCCTAATATGTGCCACTGCAGTATCTTTGGTAATATTTTAAGACTGAGTGATCTCTACCCATAATTTAACACCAATTGTCTCCCACCAAGGTAGGGTGACATTAAATACTCTTACTGTCACTCATTAGATCACTGTCATGCCAGAAGGACACCGGCATGAAAGCTCAGATGACCTTCGTGACCCCAACATCCCTACCTTCAGAGTGCAGGCACTGTACTTCCCACCTCCTTTTCTCAAGTCTGGCTAACTGATTTCCCTTAATTCCTTCATAATTACTTCCTTGATCACACTTCATCAGCATGTCGAATCATAAAAACTAATTGCTTCCACTTCTATCTAACATGCTCTCAAGCCTGTTGGATGACCAAACCCCTAGCACTTAAAACCTTTACTCCTCCCTCCAACCTTTCCTGGGATGATTCCTACCCCTCCTTCCATACCCAGGTTTTTATGCCCTATTCATCCTATTTTTCTCCTCATCCTTACCTGGAGTATACCTAGAGAGACAGTTTCGAGGGCCAGTGCCCCTGCGGCCCGGTCTGTGACCAGGCCTCGCTGTGAATCAGGGCCCAATTAACCATGCTGTTCCTGCTGGCTTCACGCAACTGATGTATGAACCACAGCCCGGCTGATTAGGTACTGACTTTAGGTGCCTGTCCAGTGCCTTTTTGAAGACAGCCAGGGGTCTATTAGTAATCCCCCTTATGTATACTGGGAGGCAGTTGAACAGACTTGGACCCCTGACATGCATTGTGTTGTCTCTTAGCGTACTCGTGGTGCCCCTGCTTTTTATTGGGGGGATATTGCATCTCCTGCCATGTCTTTTGCTATTGTAGGGAGTGATTTTCGTGGGCAGGTTTGGTACTAATCCCTCTAGGATTTTCCAAGTGTATATTATCATGTATCTTTCTTGCTTACATTCCAGGGAATACAAATCAAGGGACTTCAACTATTCCCAGTAATTTAGGTGCTTTATCGTATGTATATGTGCCATGAAAGTTCTGTGTACACTCTCCAGGTCAGCAATTTTGCATTTTGCCTGCCTTGAAGGGGGCAGTTAGTGTATAGCAGTATTCCAGCCTAGAGTGAACAAGTGATTTGAAGAAAATCATCAATGGCTTGAGGTCCTTGGTTTTGAAGCTTCTCATTATCGATCCTATCATTTTTCTAGCAGATGAGGTAGATACATTGTTGTGGTCTTTGAAGGTGAGATCCACCTCCTGAATGATATTTTCGGTAACTCCATACCTCTTCATCTCCAACCCATGAATTTTCTGCATAATAACCCCACCACACATTGTCCTCAAACATGGCATGTGTACTGTCTCCAGCTTCTTCCTTACTGCAACATTCAGAACCCATGTTTTACACCCATACAAGTGTTTATACCACCGTACTCTAGTACATTCCCTTTTCTGCCTCCATGGACCCCCCTCCCCCTCTCCCCATAAGTTCTTTGGTTCACCTCATCTTTCATAGAAGCATCTGCTGATAGATCCACTTGTAAATACCTGAACACATTTATTTCCTCATTACTCCCTCTGACCTAATATTCAATCTCTTGTTGCCTATTTTTTTTTATATATACTTTAATCACCTTCCTCTTTCCTCTGTTGACTTGTAATTTTCTTCTCTTAAATAATTTCCCAATTCATTTACCAACCTTTTCAACTTTTCTTCTGAATCTTCCAAAAGAATTCGTTGGCAAAAAGCAACTGTAACAATCTCTGCTTTGTACCTGGTTCACTATCTTTCACTCTCATGGCTCTGCCCTTCTCTTTTACAACCCCATCTATAAAAATAAGAATGTATGAAAGGAGCAGCACTGCAGCAGGGCTACTGGCCCATGCTAGGAGGGTCCAAGTCACATCCACTCGTATACCTGTCTAACTTACTTTTAAAGCTACACAACGTTTTTACATCAGTGAATGCAATTCAGGAGTTTATTCAACTCATCCACTGTTGTTATTACATGGAGTTTACCTGGAGAGAGTTCCGGAGGTCAATGCCCCCGCGGCCCGGTCTATGACCAGGCCTCCTGGTGGATCAGAGCCTGATCAACCAGGTTATGAAACCTGGTTATGAAACCAGTACCTTCCTATATCCTTTCTAAATCTAAATTTTTCCAATTTGAACCCATGACTCACAAAATCATAATGACACGATTGCAAACAAACCATACCATGGATTGGGATTGAACTCAGGGTGAATGAGTCAGCCATGCTGCTGGGAGATTCATCTGTAAAAACTTGTATTTATGGTCACAGTGGAGCTTGTGCTAACTCTGTGGTGCATAAATATACCTAGTTGGATGACTTAATTGTAGCCAACTGGCCCAGTGGCTTGGAGTTTAATGACTTGCTTGCCACAAGTTCAATCCCTGCCCATGGTATGATTTAACTTGAAACTCATTGTTGAGAGTCCTGTCCTGGTTAGCTAATTTTAGCATGTTATTGACCCCCCCCCTCCCCTTTATTCCTGTTTTTCCATTTATACTCCTCAGTCACATCTACCTAATTCTGTGCCTTTCTAGAGAGGGCAGATTCAGTGCTCAATCTATCCTTGGGATCAACTTTGTCATCCTTCTCTTTACTTTTTAGTGCATTTGTGCCTATTCTGTAATATGGTGACCAGAACTGTGCAACATAATGTAAATTGAGGCCTAACCAATGATATATAGAATGGAAGAATAACCTGTAGACTCCTGTTATTTATACTTCTTGATATTAAGCCAAGAATTTTATTCGCTTTATTGGGAACATTTACACACTTTGCTCCCCTATCCACTGTATCATATGCCTTTTCTAAATCCTTGAGTTCAATGAAGACTTTACCTTTATCTGTGTATTGTTCACTTGTATGCTTAAATGTAAACACTTGGTCTTCACATCCCCTACCCTTCCTATGGCCTCCCTGTTATCTGCAATCCTGATCTTCGTTTTTTTAACATATTGGCTGATTCCCACCAAGGCAGGGTGGCCCAAAAAAGAAAAACTTTCATCATCATTCACTCCATCACTGTCTTGTCAGAGCAGTGCTTTACACTACAGTCATAAAACTTCAACATTAACACCCCTCCTTCAGAGTGCAGACACTGTACTTCCCATCTCCAGGACTCGAGTCCAGCCTGCTGGTTTCCCTGAATCCCTTCATAAATGTTACTTTGCTCACATTCCAACAGCACGTCAAGTATTAAAAACTATTTGTCTCCATTCACTCCTATCAAATACCCTCACGCATGCTTTCTGGAAGTTTAAGCCCCTCGCACACAAAACCTCCTTTACCCCCTCCCTCCAACCCTTCCTAGGTCGACCCCTACCCCGGCTTCCCTCCCTTACAGATTTATACACTCACAAGGTTATTCTGTTTTGTTTCATTCTCTCTACATGTCCGAACCACCTCAACAACCCCTCCTCAGCCCTCTGGATAATAGTTTTGGTAATCCCACACCTTCTCCTAATTTCCAAACTACGAATTTTCTGCATCATATTCACACCACACATTGCCCTCAGGCATGAAATCTCCACTGCCTCCAGCCTTCTCATTGCAACATTCATCACCCATGCTTCACACCCATGCAAGTGTTGATACAGCTATACTCTCATACATTCCCCTCTTTGCTTTCATGGACAAAGTTCTTTGTCTCCACAGACTCCTAAGTGCACCACTCGCCCTTTTCCCCTCATCAATTCTATGGTTCAGCTCATTCTTCATAGACTCATCTGCTGACATGTCCACTCCTAAATATCTGAATACATTCACCTCCTCCATACTCTCTCCCTCCAATCTGATATCCAATCTTTTGTCACCTAATCTTTTTGTTATCATCATCACTTTACTCTTTCCTATATTCACTTATAATTTTCTTCTTTTACATACCCTACCAAATTCATCTACCAACTTTTGCAACTTCTCTTCAGAATCTCCCAAAAGCACAGTGTCATCAGCAAAGAGCAACTGTGACAACTCCCACTTTGTGTTTGATTCTTTATCTTTTAATTCTACACCTCTTGCCAAGACCCTTGCATTCACTTCCCTTACAACCCCATCTATAAATATATTGAACAGCCACTGTGACATTACACATCCTTGTCTAAGTCCTACTTTTACTGGGAATTAATCTCCCTCTCTCCTACATACTCTAACTTGAGCCTCACTATCCTCATAAAAACTCTTCACTGATCTTCATTCTGCATGTAATTCTTTCAATAATAATTACCATACACTTTACCTGGTATACTCAACATGCTTTTTACCTATATTTTTTGCACTCCCCCCCCCCCCTGACATTTTTTATACACAGGAACACTAAGCATGCTTTCTGACAATCCCTAGGTACCTTTCCCTCTTTCATACATACATGGAACAGATGTCCCATCCCCCTCCAAAGTTATAACTCCACCTAGTTTTAACATTTCTATCGTGATCCTATCAGTCCCAGTTGCTTTACCCCATTTTCTTTTTACCTGTTGCCCCCTCACACCTCTGTTATCCACATAAGCTCTTTACAACATCTGCCTCATTGCTCCCTTAATCCACCCATTCAAATGCCTTTTCTAAATCCATAAATACAAATGAAAGTTCCTGTCCTTTATTGTTCACTTATGTGCTGAATTGTAAAAGCTTGGTCTACATTTGCCCTACTCTTCCTAAAAGCACCTTATTCCTTTGCAATCCTACCATGTCTTATCCCTAATTCTTTCAATAATAGCTCTACCATACGCTTTACCCAGTGTACTCGACAGGTTTCTTTCCCTATAATTCTTTCTCTTTTATTACCTTTTCCATACACAAAGGAACTATGCATGCTCTCTGCCAATCCCTAGGTTCTTTATCCTCTTCCTATCCATGATATTGTTTTGATTCATTTGTATGCTGCTACTTGCAACAAAGGAAATACTGGGAACTCAGGACCATTTCTTCTCCACAGGAGAAGAAGACAAAGAAGGAGCAGCCTAAGAAGGAACAGCCAAAGAAAGAAAAAGAAGCTGCAGTAGCAGCAGAACCTCCTGCACCAAAGCCCAAAGATCCACTTGATGCTCTCCCAGGGGGGTAAGTGCAGATAAAAAGAGGCAATAAAATTGTATAGTTACCACATTTTGTCTTGTGAGATGCACCCTGATCCTGAAGTGTTGCCACATGAGCCAATGTTCCCATCTTTAAAATTAACAAATCATCCATTACCTTGTGATCTATTATTAGGCTTTTACCATTATTTAGTGATCTGTTATTAGGCATCCACCATTAACCAGGGATCTATTATTAGGCAACTACCATTTTCTGGTAGTCTGTTATAATTAGTGTTACAAGGACCCCCCCCCCCCCCCCCCGCCAAGTCCACTTAAAGGACTTAAAAAGTCCACTTTAAAACTTTCAGGGTCCATCCTGTAGTTCTACAGCTTTGAGCCAGGGTCAAAACCGTAGAATGGCTTGAAACTGAGCTCAAAGTACCAGAAGTGTTCCATTTTTGCTGATGTTCGAGTAAACAAATAATGCCATGCGTCCAATACGTGTCAGCTGGTGGGTCTAATGTGCGTTCATGAATGCTCTGATATTATTTATACAATTATTACAATATTGCGTAACAGTAACGCGACGGGCTGGAGTTTTGGGACTCTATGACTGCGGGTTCAATCCCGGCTGGGGGTATGGTTTGTTTGCAATCGTGTCATTACGATTTCTTGAGTCAGTAAATCTTCTATTTTTTGGTGTGAATAAAAAATTAAAATGAAATTCAATTGTAAAACCTGGAAATGTAACTAATAAACAGAGGAAATGTTATTTTAGTCCCAGGAATGCCTGCATTGTTTATTCTAGACCCTATTTTGATATTGGAATATTTTAAACTTTTTGTGAAATTGGCCAAATTACCAATTTCTGATCACTTTATTGGGTAGTTGAAATAGTAGATTGGATAATTTCTTGTGCTCAGTTGATAGAAATAATACTTAAAAAATAGCTAAGAATTTGGTTGACTGGAATAATGTAATTGGCCTAAAATGGGAATCGGTGGGCAAAAATCGCTGACACAGCAAAATTCGCAAGACCGTAATTTTGTCAGTTTTCCTTCAAATTTCATACTTTGTTTTATTACCTTCAAAAAAAAGATTACCATTTCATAAGAAAAAATTCTTGGATCCTGTGGAGAAGTTTCAGATTGGGGGTCTGGACACTGACAGGGTAAAAGGAAAATATTATTTTCTTCTGAAATGGTAGAAAATCTTTTTATGAGGGGGGAAAAAAAAAAGCTGGAAATTTGATTGAAACCTAGCAGAATTATGCAGGCACAAAGTTAGCGGTCTTAGTGCGATTTGTACATCGCGGATTTCGTGATAAATGAATCTTAAAATTAATTACGTTGCTCCATTTAACCAGTTTTTTAGCCATTTTACTAGTATGCCCTCTGTTCTAGTGACTGGGCACAAAAAAAAAAAAACATTAAACTTGGCACAACTACTGTGTTAACCCTTTCACTGCCGGTCTTGTAATATTACAGCTTGCAAGCCAGTGTCTGTCCTGTAATACTGCACCAAAATTCTAACGGCTTCCAATCTTGCAGGAGACAGCTGGTAGGCCTACATATGATAGAATGAGTTTGAGTGGTCAGTGTGTGCAGTATAAAAAAAAGATCCTGCCGCATGCAGTGCTTAATGAGAAAAAAAATTCCGACTTTCTTTGAAAACATTGATTTTGTTGTGTATTTTCGTATGATATTTATGGTTGTATTCTCGTTTTCTTGGCCTCATTTGATAGAGGTGATTTTGAATGGTTTACACACTAAAAGCACCTCGAAATTGAGCTCAAAGTAGAGGAAATGTTCGATTTTTGCTGATGTTCGAGTAAAGAAATCACGTGTCCAATACTTGTCAACTGTTAGGTCTAATATGCTTTCAGAAATGTGCTGATATTATTTATACCATTTTTACAATAATGCAGTAATCTGCATAACAGTTAATCTTCTATTTTTTGAGTGAATTAAAATTCAAAATGGAAAGCAAGCATACTGTAAGAGGGGTCTGGAGAAGTGACTGATGAACAGAGAAAATTTTATTTTCGTGCTAGTTTGCATTGTTAATTCTGGACCCTATGTTGAAATTGGCCTTCCTTGGATTGTGTATGAAATTGGCCAAATTACCAATTTCTGATCACTTTATTGGGTAGTTGAAATTGGTAAATGGGCGGTTTCTTGTACTCAATCGATAGAACAATAGGAGTTCTTGCAAAATAGCTATGAGTTTGGTCAACTGGAACAACAGAGTTGGCCAAAGAATAGGGCTCAGTGGGTGAAATTGGTGATGCATATGTATCGTCGAGACCGCTAACTTCGCAAGAGCATAATTCCGTAAGTTTTTCATGAGATTTTGAACTTTGGTGTCATTACCATCGGGAAAAGATTCTCTTATTATTTCATGAGAATTTTTTTTTTAAATTCTTTGACTCTGAGAGCAAGTTTGTGAGTAGGAATCTTGTCAGCGAAAGGGTTAAGTGCCCAGAAGTTGGTAATTTAGTCACTTTTACACAAAATTAAAAAAAAAAATGTATTTAAAAATATTGCAGAATATATAATGTAGATATTCCTGGTGCTAAAGCACCCTCTGTTCATTAACCCTTTGAGTGTCACGATCCCTACTCGCAAACTTGTTCCCAGGGTCGATGAATTAAAAAAAAAAATTCTTACGAAATAAGATAATTTTTTCTGAAGGTAATGAAACCAAAAGTACAAAATTTGATAGAAATCTTGAGGAATTACGCTCTTGCAAAGTTAGCAGTCTCAGCGATATTTATGCATCAGCAGTTTTGCCCACTTTGAGCTCTATTTTAAGCCAATTCCATTGTTCCAGTTGACCAAACTCGTAGCTGTTTCACTAGTACTCTTTTTATTCTGTCAACTGAGTACGAGAAACTGCCCATTTACCTATTTTATCTACCCAGTAAAGCGATCAGAAATTAGTAATTTGGCCAATTTCACACAAAATTCAAGAAAGGCCAATTTCAAAATAGGGTCCAGAGTAAACAATGCAGACATTCCTGGCTCTAAAATATCATTTTCTCTGTTCATCAGTCACATCTCTAGGTCCCTCTTATATTACACTTGCTTTTCATTTTATTTTATTCACACAAAATCAGATGATTTACTGTTATGAAGCCTACTGCATTATTGTAATAATTTTATAACCAATGCCAGCACATTCGAGAATGCATATTAGACCCACCAGTTGATGTGCATTGGACGCGTGATGTGATTTGTTTACTCTTGAACATTGGCAAAAATCGAACATTTCCGCTTCTTTGAGCTCAATTTCAAGCAACTTTTATTCTGTAAATCGTTCAAAATCATCTCATATTTCTGTAATATATCTCCCATTCTATCAATTGAGATCAAGCAAACGAGAATACAACAATAAATACCTTACGAAAATACACAGCAATGTCGCTGTTTTAAACCAAAAACACGGTAAGTTTTCTTTCTCATTATGCATTGCATGCTGCAGGTTTTTTTTTATATACTGTGTACTCTGACCACTCAGACCCATTCTCTCATGTGTAGGCCTACCAGCTATGCCCCGCAAAATTGGAAGTCGCTAGAATTTTTGCGTAGTATTATGGGACCGACACTGGCTCCAAACGCGCAATATTACAGGACCGACAGTGAAAGGATGGCATACCTAGAAATTAAAACGTGTGTGTGGGGTGGGTGTTGAGAGTGGCAAGATTTAAAAAAAAAATGCAAATTGATAGTGCATTTTTTAAACTAACACTAAAATGAGTGGAATATGATAAATACTTAACCCTTTCAGGGTCAAGACCCTTGATCTCAATCTTGTTGTGAGGGTCAAAGAACTTCAAAAAAAAAAAAAAATGTTAAAAGAATTTCTTATGAAATGATAGAAAATCTATTTGAAGGTAATGAAACCGAAAATACAATATTTGATAGGAAAATTTAGGGAATTATGCTCTTGCAAAGTTAGCAGTCTCAGTGATATTTATGCACTGGCGATTTTGCCCACTTTGAGCCCTATTTTCGACCAATTCCATCGTTCCAGTCAACCAAACTTGTCTATTTTGCTAGTATTCCTCCTATCGATTGAATACAAGAAACTACCCAATAAAGTGATCAGAAATTGGTAATTTGGCAAATTTCACACAAAATTAAAAAATTGCCAATTTAAGGGGCACGTAAGTTCCCCTTTAAAAATAGGGTCCAGAATAGTGTACATATTCCTGGCACTAAAATAACATTTCCTCTCCTTATTAGATGCATCCCCAGGTCTCATATATTACGATTGCTTTCCATTTTGAATTTGTGTACTCTGGAATATTGGCAAAAATAGAAAATTTCTACTATTTTTGAGCTCAATTTCAAGCTACTTTGTCTTGAAACCAGTTAAAATCATATTTTTTTCTGTATTACAGTGGACTCCCGGTATTCGATATTAATCCGTTCCTGAGAGCTCATCGAATACCGATAATATCGAAAACCGAATCAATTTCCCTCGTAAGAAATAATGGAAATCAAATTAATCCATGCAAGACACCCAAAAGTATGAAAAAAAAATTTTACTACATGAAATATTAAGTTTAATACAATAGAATAATTACAATAACAATAAAATAATTGACACTTACCTTTAATGAAGATCTGGTGATGATTGATGGGATGGGAGGAGGGGAGAGGTGTTAGTGTTTAGAAGGGGAATCCCCTTCCATTAGGACTTGAGGTAGCAAATCCTTTTCCGGGGTTACTTCCCTTCTTCTTTTAATGCCACTAGGACCAGCTTGAGAGTCACTGGACCTCTGTCGCACAACAAATCTGTCCATAGAGCTCTGTACCTCACGTTCCTTTACGATTTGTCTAAAATGGGCCACAACATTGTCATTGTAATAGTCACCAGCACGGCTTGCAATAGCTGTGTTAGGGTGATTTTCATCCATAAAGGTTTGCACTTCAACCCAGTCTGCACACATTTCCTTAATTTTTGAAGTAGGCACAATGGATTCCACAACTGGCATAGGCTTCTCAGGGTTAGCCCCAAACCCTTCAAAATCTTTCT